TCTCTCTCTGTCTCTCTCAGTCTCTCTCTGTCTCTGTCTGTCTCTGTCTGTCTCTGTCTGTCTCTGTCTGTCTGTCTGTCTGTCTGTCTGTCTGTTTGTCTGTCTGTCTTTTTGTCTGTCTGTCTGTCTGTCTGTCTGTCTGTCCGTCCGTCCGTCCGTCCGTCTGTCTGTCTGTGCGTGTTTGTTTACATACAAATGCGAATATCTCATGTGCACATGTATTGTGCAACCATACATACACACCCACACGCATACATGCATTGCATACGTGCATGCAAACACATACATACACATATACACACATACACACATACACACATACACACATACATGCGTACGTACATACCTACATAAATACATACATACATACATACATACATACATACATGCATACAGATATGCAGATACAAATGTGTGCACATGTGCACCTACAATTACATATACATATAAATGTACATCCATATAGTCACTCGGCTGTCATGTCGTTGCAAATTATGTCTACAATACTAGCAATACGTGAGTATGATTATGTCTGCGCATGACAGACTTGATGCAAATACACAGACAACACAAAGGGGTTCAGTCGCGTTTTGCAGTTGCCGGTGTATCTGTCATTCTCTGTCTGTTCTCTTGAAAGGATTTAAAAGGTACACTTGTGCACACTGCGCATACTGTTCCATGGCTTGCACACACACACACACACACATCAACAAAAACACAACATCAGTAGCAACAGCACTTTGCTCATGTATGCTGTACGCACGCTCGTTGTAGGTTTCTTGCATTTCGAAGAACATCACTTATCCGTTGTTGAGCGCGCATGACGCCACTGGCTAGCAGAGGAATCTGTACCGTGCACCGTTGCCTCGAGTTCGCTCCCGCAGCAGGCGTCAAAACTCCCAGCACTTCCACACCTGCTGGTCACGAGTCAGAACTTCTGCTTACGAGCCTCACGATTGTGAAGCCCCATCTCTTCGTCGTCCAGCTTGAAACCACGAAAACATACGCTTCATTGTCACCCAGACTTTTGCGAGCAGGCCGCCACTCCGGTAGCCGAGGAGTCAGCAGAAATCCAGAAAAGAAGGCCTGAGCTGCCGGAAACGATGATTGAGTTTCTATAGGAAAGTGCCAGTGCTGTATTGGACAACAGCCTGCCGTACTTCTCATGGTATGCTGTCGAGCTCCACTCTAGAATCCTTCCCCATTGTGATTTGCAGTCGTTTCATGATGTAAAGTGTACTCTGCGCAAGCTCTCAGCTTGAAGGGTACATCGCCTCATGCTGCCAATATGTGGGAATCGTTTTCCGTGCCAAGCTTCGACCTGCTTCACCCATCTGACGGGACGAATCCAGATCACGCCATGCTGCAAGAAGCCCAGAACCTTCATGCAGTCGGCACGTGCATAATGTAAAAATACTGGCATGTGCAGGTAGTGGTGCGAATCTGTGAAACGGGCGCATATGTAAATTAAAAGAGAATTGGCAGAATCCATTTCTGAAACCTGCACAGATCGCTCAGCCAACTAACTACCTGCAAGAAACCGAGCTCTGCAACGCACCGAAGCCTCGTCAGTTCAGAAACACTGCAACAAGCTCTGGCTCGAATAACTACAGCAAGATGTAGTACGTTACCAGGTAACAGCAAATAAGTAAAATTAGCACTGACTATGTAGTGTCATTCGCAGTACAGTAGCATCTAGCAGACTACATGCAGTGGCAATCACACCAGGACTTCTGCAGATGGTTTGCGGCTGTCAAAGATCAGGCTCTGCAGGGATGCATTGAAGGCCTCGGCACAAAGCCGGCATGAGCATGCTCATGCAGTTTTGCTTCCTGTCGTCGTTCCACCTGTGGCTTGCGGTTGGTGAGCTGCAACGTGCAGCAAGCGACCCTTCTGCCAATTCCGTCTAGATACGTCGGTGTCCGGAATTTTGGCCAGAATATGCACCACCTGAGTAGTGACCCAGCTGATCGAACAGCGTCGCTCGACTTTCAGATTTTTTAGGCAAGTCACGTCCTCCTCGCGAGAAGCCTGAAACAAGCATACCCGTGCATTGACAAACACACGAACGCAACGGCATGCAAATATTCAATGTTACTCCAACCAATGCATGCTTCCAACAAGCCTCCATTTCCCGCACGTCGAGGTCTCGCAGCTTTGCACCGGTGCGCACAAGACCTTCCTGCAAGGCCAAGTCATGAGTCATGAGCCCAAGCTTGGCGGCGAAGTGGTTTCTGCCCATGTCGTGTTGCATGCCGCAAGCATTTCTGGCAGTCGAAGTTGCGGTCCTTGTCGCGCAGCTTCAGATGAGTTCGAATCCCTAACTTGCTGGCCTGCCGACAGAGCTCGCAAAGACTCCAGGCTAAATAGTTTTCTTACGCCACTGATACCCTTGCTGTCCACAAGTCGCTGCTGGTACAAAGACGGTGCCAACCGAAACAAAAAAGCATCCTACGACGACACATCTCCGGAACTGCCACGGCAAAAGATCGCTTGCCTGGGCCATCTCTGCCTGTAGCGCGCCGGCAGAGGTTTCGGGCTTCAGAAAGCATTGCCGCGACTTTACGTGCTGAAATTGACACGATCTAGAGAGAACATAAGTAGGCTGAGCTTCCATACACCATGCCCGGCCGAACACTCCGAACTCGGCGTCCACTGCCACCACTTGGCAGAAGTTTGGGTCCTGACGATGCGCGGCAAATGCTTAGCATAACAGTCGTCCTAGCTTAGAGGCCAGGCACCTTTCTTTGGGTGCTGTCTGGCACCTACGAAGAGCGTACGACATTGATCGGCATTGACAGGCCTGTGTTCCGACTTGCGGTTAAGGTGCTCTGGCTGCCAAGAAGGCCATCATTTCATCAAACTTGTTCATCTCCTGAGCGTTGAGTCTTGCATAGTTTTGCCGCTACCGCTGCCCAAGACTTCCCTGGCGATCCGGTGCGCGTGCTGACATCAATAAAAGCCGGTCGAGAGCGCCCCACTTGCTTGGGTCGCAGTCAAGACTCGCATTCGTCACCTTCGTAATACCTAGGTCCGGAAGAAGCGAGCAAACGAGCAACCTAGACAGACAGGAACCAACGACAGAACAGGGTCGTGAACACTAGATTCACTAGATCAGCAACCGAAGACAAACAGGAAAACCGTGAAAAGGAACGAAAAAATCTTTTGAGAATGCAAGCACACCACGCACTGCACATCGGAAGGCCAGCACTGTTTTCGCCGCTTGCAGGTTTGATCGCATGGTCTGAGGCGCTGAGGTGTGACAAACCTTCATACGACCCCTCAGAGTCCGATTGTGAATCGGCTTCTGGCCAGGCCAGAATGCGATGTAAGTAAACAAGCGTACGACACATAGCAGCAATGCCGCAATGCGGCACCTATCTCTGGTTCTCTGTACCAGTGCGATGCATTCCATCCAAATCAACAACGCTTGACGAATGACGCTCGCGGTTCTTTTGCCCGCAGGTTTTGAAAGCCAGAGCCCAGAAGAGCGAAAATCATTGCACCTGAGCACTGGTGGTGGCAGACTCACCACTCGCCTCAGAACGACTCGGGATGACTCCGGAATGGAATCGCGGCCCCGTGAGTAAGGTGTCAGTCAAAACTTGTGCAGGCATGGCTCGCCAGTCATGAAAATCGGCAGTTGCGCTTCCTGTGCTTTGCAAGAACAAGCGATCGCTGGACTCCGGGGAGGGTCAAAGCTGAGCCGAGAGTCCTCCAAGGGAGTGACCACAGTCACCACCTCGCTACCCCTGGAGCCGCCCGGCATCGGTGCGCCCGCGTCCTGGTCCATTGATCACTATCACGCGCGTTTGCGCGCGCGTGCATCCGCCACGCGGGCGCTGCACATGATAGTCCTCGAAGGCAAGTCGGTACACATCGTCGTAGTGATCGACGAAGTGTGCTGTCAGCCCTGGCACACACTGTATTGGAGGTGGGCTTGCGATCGGATGTTGGCATGATGAAAACGAGACTCGTAGAGACTCAGAGACATCCGGCCTGCTCGAAGGTACGGCTTCAGCTCTAGGTAGTCTGCCTGATCAGAAAAAAGAGAGAGGCAAATGCATTCCGACACTACTCTCAAAAAACACTGTATCATACTGCAATATGTGGACTCCGCGCAGGGCACCTGATTCGACATGGGGAAGACAAGCCTGTCCACATTCTCTCTTCTGGCGGCCAGGGTCTTCCTCAGTCGCACGAAAGACCGGGCAAATTTGTGCCTTCCCAGAGAACAACATGAACAAACATCCCCAGCAATGGAGAGCCGGTTTTGTGCAGGGGTTGCCCAGCTGTGCTTTTGTGATGGCTGCGGAGTGACATGACTACCAGACAGCAAGCAGCAATCAGCAGCAGGTCGTGCTCCAGTTCGAGCGCCAAGAGTCTCTTTGATGCCGCCGACACGGAGCACCTTGCCTGTCAATGTGACCTGTGCATGCCACGTTTGTGGTAGCCGAAGTAAGACAGAGTGATGCTAGACTGGGATGCGGAAATCAGAAAAGACATGGATGCCTCGCCGGTCATGGCCATGTCGTGCTTCACCGGCCGATCCAGAGCCATGCTAAGCCTAAGACTCAGTGGTCCAGCCAGCTGAATTTTCATCCGATTACACTGTATTGTATCATCTTATGGCACATCCCAAGCGTAGCATATTAGTAATGTACTACACACAAGGTGCTTGAAACAATTGTCACTGCAAAGCCGGCTCTAACTCGGATACCGGGGAGCAAAGCTGATGTCATTGTTACTCCGGCAGATGGCCCATCCTCCCGGACATGATGCTGTGTATCCCCAACTCTCAAACACGGACGCCAGCAGCTCCTTTGGAATGGCACCCTCTGGCATGTTCATGTGGATGTGTGCCTGGGTGCTGTGCTCTTCTTGCGCTATTGAACCGGACTCAGGAAGCCTAGGGCCTAGGGCCTGTTGCAGCAGAGCCACGTGGTCTAGGAACTCATTCTTTGGTTCAAGCTCACGCAGGAAGATCCGTGCATAGGTGAGAGCGATCTCACTGGACTCGCCCATCACCTAGCAGCATCTCGCAGGCCGGTGGAATCGATCCGAAAAATTATCCACAGCTGCTCAAACCTGTTAGATCATGCTCCGAACCTACCGACCCCTCGCCCACAATGTCAGCACAAATGCCGGCCTTTCCCAGCTTTCCGGTCACCTTCATGCGCGGTCCCGCATTCTGCGGCCGCGGGCTCTTAGAGCTAGATGATGGCCTCAGCCGTCGTCATCTTGATTAGCAGCCGGCAAGATTAGTGTCGCAAGGACTTCGGATCTTACCGACTTTCTGGGACTTTCTCAAGGCCTGAATGACAAGCAGGAACCCATCCTCTCAGTCTCAGAAAAAACCTTCCAACCCTGCGAATGACTCACGTCTTCTATGCATGCAGAAGCTCAGAGGCTGCTCGCTGCTCCATCCCTGCCTTCCCCTCTCTGACAAACCGAGCAGCGTATCGCTGGTGCTGTCAGCTGCTGCTGTTACATCCAGAGATGGGCTATCCTCTGCCATGCTGTCCTTGGCTTCGCAAACGAGCGACCCCGAAATACTCCAACATGGCGTTTGCTCCAGCATATCTCTAATCCAAGGCACCGTGCTTTCAGGCACGCGACCGCGGGCCTCCGGTTACTCAGAGCAGTTCCGAAAGGTGTCGTTACATCTGCATTTTTCAGCTGGCCTCCACAAAAAGCGTTTGGCCCCCCAATGCTGTCCAGGCTAAACCCATGGCGACACCACTCGGGGTGTGGATGAAAAGCCTGGGATGCATCGGGCGCCCTGGGCATGTGCATGGGGGGCAGTCTTTGTGATTGACACGTCGAGCTTGCGATAGAGGCGCCGCTCCGAAGAATGCGGCGGTTGACCTCATGACTCAGACATCCTTCCTCCACGAGCTGTTCGTACAGTCTAGGACCTAGGGTTCCCGCCGACGAATTTTCGCAAGTTCTCTGTCGAGATGATGGAGCGCTCACGCGCTTCTTGCTCCACACGAACAAGGCTCAGGGCCACTTTCCTTGCAGACTTAGGCTCTGTCTTTGCACATGTGTCACCGTGGCTCACGGATGACTGGTCCAGCTACCTCATGTGAGCTAGCGCAGAATGTTGCTGTCGCTGCACTTTGGTCCGAGCATCCGCGTGATTTTTTCTAAAAGCTTTCGCAGCTCGCGCACGCCTGATTCACGTGCGTAATCGCGGATGAGCTCCGCAAGAGCCTCACGTGCAGCGCTTCAGCGATGTATCCATGTTGACAAGCTTTGACAGCCTCTGGCTGCAGCTCCATGAGATCTTCGGGAACGCCGTTGGTGGCCTGCAGAACAATCTAATCTCACGACCTTTTGACATGGAACGACGTGGAGTCCTGAAGTTGAAGCTGAGATGCGATGGTTTGAGGGATCAAGTACTGGTTGGCAATTGCTAGCTTCTCTTCATAAACGTAACCGGCCAGCTTGATGACCTCCATACCTCGGGGCGAATTTGGCCCGGCTACATGGTTGCATGGCCACGCAGAAGCTGTAGTGCTGGCATGACACGGTCTAGAAGAGGACCTGCCAGGCCAAGAAAAAAGCGCTCAAAAGAGTGACATCTTTTCAGTCAGGTGGAGACTTCAAGGACATGAAGCATAATGAAGCATGTCAGGCGTGGCCTGGAATCGTGTCCGTAACGTTTGCAGTACAGATGAAGAGCACTTTCGAAAGGTCTATAGGCACGTCCTTGGGAAAGGCCAAAACGTCGGGCACAGATCGAAGGTGATCACTGAATGCACCCAAGAAGCCAGGTACAAGTCCCTGAACGCGGAGTTCTGCTCGGGATCTAGAACCTCGAGCAGCGCCGAAGAAGGATCTCCACCTGCAAAGCACGGAACCTCGAACCCTCTACTGATCCAATTCGTGATTGCGCCAGCTGGGGTCTTCGCGGAAGTCACGACCCAACTTGTCGACTTCATCCACGAGTATGACGGGATTCGAGACTTGCCTCGGGATACAGATCATCAGCCGCCTTCAACCATGGCTTGTCGTATCTCCCCCCTGCATAGAAATGTCACATGTCACAGAATCATAGATGCTGTGATCGAGGGGCTTGATTTTCAGAGCTTGTATGATTTTTCCCGGCATAGCACCAACATATGTTCGCCGATGGCCACGAATCTCGGACACATCGTGCAACCCGCCAACGGAGAAGCGGAAAAACTGCCTCACAGGGTCTCCGAGCAGATACGGTGGAATGCCCATGTCCGAGACAGAGAAATACAACATATATTTGATATATATATATATATGTGTGTGTGTGTGTATGTATATATATATATATACATATATATATATACATATATATATATATCTGTGTGTGTGTGGGGTGTGTGTGTGTGTGCATACGTGTGTACGTGTGGACGTACGTACGTACGTACGTACGTACGTACGTACGCACGTACGTACGTATGTATGTATGTATGTATATACATATATATATATATAAATGTGTATGTATGTATGTATGTGTATATATATATATATATGTGTGTGTGTGTGAGTGCATGTGTGTGTATGTATGCATGTATGTATGTATGTATGCATGCATGTATGTATGTATGCATCCGGATGAACAGTGAATAAATGTGATACACAGAAAACGGTGGAATCATGTGGGTGTGTTGGTGATGCAAGACGTGAGCATTAAGCCGTCAAGCAGGCACTGTTGCGACAACCCTGCCCCTCCCCATCCGCCTGTCCAAAGCACGGGCTATGCTCTTGCCGATAGAAGTCTTGCCAACTCCGGGCGGCCCAACCAAACACATGATCTTTCCATGCACAGAGCCTGACGGCAGGCAGGTTCTCTGTCAGGGCGAAGTTGTCCGGTACAAAGCTGCGCGCAGTCTTGGAACATGGCACTACCACGGTGCCTTTAAGGAAGCTCACGGCCATGTGTTCTAGGATTCGCTCCTTGACATCCTGCAACGCTCGCAGTGTCATGGCATTGTGAGCCAGTGGCAAGAGTCCTCCAGGCTGTAGTGATCCTGACAACTGAGAGGCACAGTCATGATCAGTCAATAACAGTCATGTCGATGCAAACAAAAACAAAAAATCGCACTTGCACCCGGCCTCATTCAGGATCTTTTCAGCCTTCTCAATGTCAGTGTTGTCCTGCCGCAATTTCGGGGCTCGCTGGCTCAGGACGTGATGAGCCTAGTGGCTGCAGCACCTCGCTGAACTTTCCCCAAGGAAGAGCGGTAAGCCACTCGAGGTAAGTTCTTGAAACCTCGCTGCACGGGGCGGGGGCAGGCACAGCATGCGCAGTGCGGAAGTCTCAAAATGTCTCGAGTGGAGTAGCATTGAACTCTGCGGATTGCGGCTCAAGGGTGCCGAGCTTGCTTAGCTCCTACACACACACACACATACACACACACACACACACACACCCCCCGACCGACAGTGTCGGGAAAGGCAGCAAGCTGACATGGCATTGAACTCTCGGCATCCTGGTCCATCACCTTGGCAGCCTCCTCAGGGACCTTGTCGCCTAAATTCTTGATACACTCCTGGCAAACTGCAAAAGCAGTTGGAAGTTCATAGAGCTTGTCCGCCACGGCAACGGCGTCCTTAAAGGCAGCAATGATCGACTGCTTGTCATCCCGTTCAAGATTCAACTCGCGCTTGATGTAGCGGAGCTGTTGCATCAGGATGAACTTCCTCGGTTCAAGACAGACCCACCTGAATCAGAATACAGTGCTGCGGCACGTTGTCTTCGAGTGGCTTGTTCTCCTTTGCAAACTTATCCTCGATCTGTGTCCGAAACCTGTACTGCAATGAGAGGCCGCTCGAAGGACTAGAGAGACACTGGAGGAAAGCAGACAACGCTCGAGTGTGAGTGCAGAAGTTGACACATGGAAAACAAAATCCTTCGGAAGGAACTAGAGTCTTTATTGGGAGCAAGGAGGGCAGCCGGCCGTATTGGAAGCTGAGAGGAGGAAGAACAGTGTCAAGAATCGTGTAGCCATAGCGGACACGATCCTTGCGAAAGAAACACCTCTCTAGCATGCTGGAGACTACTGACAGAGTTCTACATTTTGGTAGATGTGTTGCTGCGCTCGCAGTTCGAACCCCCCCCTTAATCACTCATGCTGTTTGCTAGCGAGACATCCGTCGTAAAAGCCAGCATTCAACCTGTAAATGCCTGTATATACTGCTGTTTCAGGGAAGCTTTTGCAGCTCCAGCGCTGCTTCCTCCTGAGGCGCATGCTGGCTCTGCAGACGCGTGCTCTCAAGGTCCTGCGCAGGCTGCTTATCTGTCTTTGACTATCTATCTATCTATCCATCTATCTATCTATCTATATGTATGTACATATGTATTTTTATATGCGTGTATATATAAATATACATAGTTATTTTACTGTTATGATTATTATTATTTGTTGTTAGTCATTACGTATTAATTATTAACTATTAACTAGTCAATATTAATTGTAATTATTTACTATTATATATATTATATATTTTATATATTATATATTAAATTTATATAATTATATGTCTGTGTATGTAGTGAAATCCAGCAGTGAATAAGCACTTAAATGCATGATATAAATGAACAAGAAACTGGACACACACACACACAAAGATGCCTGGGCCTACAAGAGAGCGAGAGATAAAGATTTGTGCTATACATTGTGAACCCTCGCTCCTGCAAGCGGCTTTGTGACAGGTGCAAAAGTGGTGCAAACAACTGGTTCTGGGCAGGCGCGCCCTCGAGCGCGCATGTTTACCTGCATGTTTTCCCTTCTACCTAGGAAGGACGAGCCCACGTTGCAGCACAACTCCGATGAAACATTGGGATATCACATGGCTCGGCACTGACAGCTCAGAGAGACCACACTCCGTGTGATGCAACTGTCTCTACAAGACGTGTACGTAAGCTGCACTTGCATTCATGCAAAATCATGCAAACATGCTAGTTCGCAAGTAGGCATGCAAAGTTATTGCATATAAATAAATAAATATATATATATATACATATATATATATGTGTATATATATATATATGTATACGTATATATATATATATATATAGCTGTGTGTGTGTGTGTCTGTCTGTGTGTTCGTTGCAGGAACCACTCTTTGGCATGTGTAAGGAAAACCACGTAACATAGGGAAGTGTAATTAGGCCCATGGTGAGCTTTGTGTTCAGTCCCTCCGAGCCTCCTCGCGGTACTTCTGTACACATACATCTAGCTGAGACCAATGAATATACTCTCAAAAGCCACCCCCGTGAAAAGGCACACGCGCACCAACATAACTACATATGTATGTATGTATGTATGTATGTATGTATGTATCCAGTGTATACCCAAGGTTCGTTAGCCTGCAATCTACAAATCTAGATTCAGACAGACGGACAAGGCGGAGTCTTACAAGCTCATGTGGGGCTTTCTGCGAACATGCTTTCGTGCCTCCCGCCCGGCTAGGACGAACAAACCTACGATGTGTTTCGGGTACCTGTAGCTTCGGTTCTAGAGTCGGGTCCCCTGCTTTCTGAAATTCCCAGGTCCTTCTTTAAGATCAGAAGCACCTTCCGGAGCCTCTCCGTGGGATCCTGAGCAAGCGGTTGGCACGAAAGCTGCCTGATACTTGTTTGGAAAGCAAGTACCTGCCGGATAACGATGTGAAGAAGTACAAACAAAACAGACGTGTACATATGCAGTATGCACAGAGGGTAAGTATACTAAAGCACCAGTGTGATCTGGCCTCGCATGTCAAGACCTCCTGGAGGTCTTGTCTGGGTGCGCTGGACATTCCCGCCGCCTGAAGGGATGCAAGCTTTTCGGGCCCAGATGCCCCTCGCGTGCAGATTCGGCTAAGCAACAAGGTCCGCCAGCTTCAACGGATCGTCCAGGTTGTAATACCTGGCAGGTGATGCGAACCCGAGGCAAAGGGAAAAAGGAGGGGAGCTCTTAGTTGTTGGGATGCCTGATCACCTGCTCGAACTGCTCCTTGTTCACGAAGGGCATCTTGAGCAGCTCCTTGAAACATGCGCCAATGTGATGCGAGCGGTGCGCCGGACACTGCGCTTCTCTCCTTCATCGTCGCAACCATCTCGGAGTGGAGTGCGCGAATTTCCATGCTAAGCTTGGCATCGGACGCACTTGGAACCTCGATTGGCTCACTTGAAATCAGCAAGTGACCTCTCACGAAGCCCTTCGGTCCGAGCGGCCACCTGATTGGGCAATGCAACCGTCTCCAACTTGAAGAGGGGACCGAGAGATGGTCCCTCTTGTGCGGCAACCCCGACCTGCCCGCAGCCATTTTCATCAGCTTGAACTTTCCGAAAGCTTAAGTCATCCCAGACTAGAAACCCGGACACTAAGACTAAGATACAAAGCACGCAAGGTCGCGGGTTCTACCAGTGGCAGATCCTAGCATGCTCCGTGATCTCTTGGGGCTTGCTCCGCTCGCAGACAGCGGCGTAAGATGGAAAATGAGAGTGAAAGAGTACTGCGCAACGCAGAGAAGCGGCTCTGCGAATTCTCCCTGTCGGCATGACGAGGAGGCTGCCACCAGGCGAGTTGGGGGACTGGCTGATCAAAGAGACGACCTTGCTCGTGTCAAGCAACATCAAATCAAACATTCAACGACCGCAGGAAAAAAAAGCAGGAAATTACAAACTTGAAAGCCACCCAGACTCAAAGCCTGGACCTGAACACCCCGAAACCTCGGATAACTTCCCTTTCACAGTGCTGCTCTTGCGGTGAGTTACCTGCAGCTTTGTGCCGACCTGCCGGGAGATCTTGCATGCCGCTTAAAGGGAGCACAAGCACCACGAAACGGGTGGCAGCGCAGAAAATCGCGAGACTAAGCTCAAGGGCCCCCGAAATCTCTGAACTTGCAGAAATGACTTCGCCTCCACCAGCTCATCCACGCTGTCCACCTGACTCCAGCATTAATGGGCTGGGGCTGAGGCCTTTAAATTCTGGAGTCTCGTTTGCCACCACTGCCTTGCCGGCGTCTTTCCGTAGAGGCTTCTTCTCCGCAGGCGGCTGTGAATCCGGGGGCAGCGAGACCAAAGGCGCTGCCGTCTCGCTCTGCGGCGCATCCTCCGAACGCTCTGAAGTCGCCCTACTAGGAACCGAGTTCCGATATTACTGACCGGATATCGATTCGAGCTACAAGTAGTAAGTACTGCTCACCCCTGAAACCGTTGCATTATGATTATAAGCATGCCCCAGGCACTTCGCGGGAGATGGGCGTACAATCGAACCCTCACTTTGCGTGCTCTTGGCGGATGCTAGTGCAGCTCTTAGCCAAGTCTTAGCCTATGGGCCCCTGCATTGTCATTAAACCCGGGTCCGCAAACTCGGCGGGCAGCTCCGTCGTCATGAATCCAGCAACATAGTGGCCCTGGCCAGAAGCCTGTAAGTTGGCAATGAACTCGTAAATCTGTGGTGACGTGATCTGAACCAGGTGGTAGAACCTGTGCCGAAAACAAAAAGGGAAGCTTGGTGCTGCATCAAAACTCACTATACTTGAAAGTAATATCTCTCACGCCGAGCCACCCGGGGAAAGCAGGCTTCCGGAAGAGTGGCAACGCGAAGAGCTCCTCCACCTCGCCACCTTCGACCGGCGGGGCGCCTTGGGCCGCGCCCTCGCCTGTGCCTTCGCCGCCCTCAGCTCCTTCAAAGCAGGGGCTGCTGGTATGGCGATGAGGCGACTTCAGCATGCTGTTGCTTTTCGGCTTTGCGTTGCGAACCTTTGCAATACTCACGGCAAGCAGGCTGGCACATCATGCACATGTCCACAGGGCGAGCGGAAACCGCTCGTGAAGCACAACTTGGAACGAATGATTTCGGCACAAACCCATTGGCACCAAAATGTTGCAGGAACCTTCCGATGCGCCATGTCCACCTTCACCTCCTTCTGCACTTGCAGCCTTATCTGTACACCAAGCGTGTCGGAACCCTGGCTGGAAACTTGCTCGAACGAGTAGAGCTCCCGGCAGGAGCACTTCTTCGAAATTCAGACAGCAGATGCCATGACCAGGAGTACTTGGAGGTGCATGGGTAGTTATAAGTGGTGTTATAAGCCCCCTAATATGGGTTATCACTATAGTTACCCTACTTACAATAACTACCCATGAACCTCCAAGTATGAAGCACCAATTAGTGACCCAGCGGCGAGGAAGCGCGGCAGCGGCCGCAGCGCTGCCGGCGCCCCGCTGAGGCGGAGGCTCCTGCGCCCCACCAGGGGTGCAGCAAAGCCCTGCGCCCCTCCCTAATGACCTATGAATACAAAGCTTGGCAATAGTAGCACTACAGCAGCAGCCGCGGTTGCGGTGGAAGATCATGGTGTTGAGTGGTACAGTAAATAGTCGCAAACAGCACGATGTTGAGCTAGTCACCACTGGACACATGTACACACTTTGACCAACACCAGTCATCAGTTAATCGTATAGCAGCACCACCATCAGCACTCTCCACTCTCTCGGCTGCTCTGCCGTTAGAGCTACGGGGTTGACATGGGTTGACCATCACAACCTTAGCAAGATTAATGCAAACACGAAGCCACAGTGGCTACCATGATGAGGGTGAAAGCGTGGTGAATGAGTCCTGACTGTTCTGGCGGTGATACCACGACTCCATCGGGCTGCAACCAGGCGGGATCGAAGAGACGCTCGTAGCATGTCCTGACTGCTCAAAGCAAGTGGAGACGATGCCTGGGAAGCAGCCGGAAGATCCTCATGCCAAGCACTTAACGCAACACTCTCTCCAAAGACGGTCCTTTTCACCTGGACAAGCTTCTTCGCGCCCAAGCCTTCCCTTGAGCCAGAGTGCAGTCGAGTTGTCATCTGGCAGGAGAGGGTTTGGAACCATTCTGAACCCTCGCTCTCGTCTGCCCTGATGCCATGATGCCAAAACTAGTCCGCCGTATTCCGCCGTACTGTTAAAACCCCATGGCTGCAAACCCCAAAAGTGTCGAGCAACATCCCTTCCACCACAAAATCCTGGGATGGCAGACCTGGCCGGCTCAACGTCGCAGTTGTGGCAAGACACCCCGTCCAAATAGGCAGAGATCGGGTTCTCAGGGTGGGAGAGCTGTTCAGTACACCAAGTTGCTTGGGAAGTCCACAATCGCAAACAGGGTATCGTTGGGCGGTCAGAGAATCTCTGGAATGATGATTGCAATCCTGACTTGGCCCGTCAACGGCACGACGTGAAGGTCAGCGCACGAATGACTCACCATGAAAAAAGGTTCCGATGCCGTGTATATTGCAAGCGAGGCACGCAAATGCTAGCATGTTGGTTTACACCTTACAGGCCGATTTTGCCAGCAACTGCGGCGAAGCCAAACTCGCGACTCTTCCCTTATGCCGCCAGCGAGCAAAAGGCACAAATCCAGTAGCAGTCCTGGAGCCGCCCACATTTCTCCAAAATGCGCTCGATGATATCCACATCCTGTCCAGGGATTGCCCATGCCAGACGCCAGGGACACTGGAAGACACAGATGCCTATGGCTATGGGCGTCTGCCTTCTGGAGCAAGCGTGAAACCAGACCGTAGCTGGACTCCTGATGACAACCCAACAGCAAAGACGATGCTTTCTACGATTCTAGTGGCAATCAGAGCGCGGAAGCTCAAACGCGTTCAAGAGGTCTCTTGCCTTTCGGTTTTTGTTCTCAGTGAGGGTCCTCCAACGCATCGGCCACGACAGCAGCACATAGATCCACAAAGCGATTGCCCCACCAGTGCCTCAGCACAGGGAAGTCACGTTCAATCAGCAATCAATCCAGTCGCAGGTGACGGAGATACTGCATTGAGGCATGGAGCTCTTTCCGCATGCAGCCTGTGCATCTTTGGCTGCGTAAGCTGTCGGGCCTGTACTCGGCTTCTGCCCGGTGAAACGGAGCAGCGCGCTCCAACTCGATTCATCCTGGACTAATCGAATCTAAACTTCTTCTTCTGCTCCTCACAGCGGGCTTCGACCACTGACCTGGTGTGCGACGTATCTCAAGACATGTCAAACATAACCGGGCAGCACGCGATCTAGCACGCGAAACCTACTACAATCGCAGATGCCATGTGAAGGCTCAGCGGCGCATCCATGGCCACTGGCTCGACGCACCGCAGCTGGGCAGAAGCAACGACTTCGTCCAACAAGCTGTCCTGGCATGGTAGTCCCGTGTGGCGCTGAGAGACCCTGTACATGTTCAACCCTCGTAGTCCAGAACACTTGCATCATCGTTCTCCACGAAGTCTCTGACCTGATAAAAACAACGCGGACTCACAGTCGCAGCATGGCATTGACACAACCTGGGAACCGTGCCATCTCTGCAATAAAAGCACAGTCAAGCTGGATTTGTTGAAGGCCATATTTCCCGAAAGTCTCCTCCCTTACGTACTCGAAGAAGGCCTGGAATTCTACTGAGACAGCGCCAGCCGGACGACCTGGCTTCCTGCCTTGAAGGCAATCCGCAGTATACCAACAATCGCACCATTCCTGTTGAAGGGAATCGGAGCAAAGACCTCAGGGCATCGAAGGTTTGACTTCCGTCTCCAAGCAAGCCCAAGACCCACTCGTGCCTGGAGCTTCTTGGCCCAGAGCCGCTCTACTTCCAGCTCCATGGAGTTCTTGAAGCGGGACAGATTCCTTCGGTGGTCGCCTGGCCGATGGCAGCCATGCCATAGATCTTGGCTGGGCTTCTCCAGTACTCAGAACGGTTCAGAAGCTGGTCCCCAACAATCTGAAGAAGCCGAAACTTCCTGGAAGCGACCAGACTAACCGAGCAGAACAGCGAAAGCCAGCTGTAGCAACACAAGCCCACCTGTCTTTGGTTTCCTGGGATCACCCAGCAGCCGTGCCAGCTGTGCATCGAAGGCATGCACCTTCTGACACAGCTTCGTCGGTTTTTGCATCTCTTCCATTCATGGTGTTACTTCTTTATATAAATACATCCCCCTTCGGGTATGCACTGTTATAATATGTATATGCATATGTATGTGTATATATCTGTCTGTGTATGTATGTATGCATGCATGCATGCATACATACACACACACACACATGCATGCATGTGTGTGT